AAGCGGCTTTCCTATGGCCGATCTTCGCTAGACAACGACGATTCTTCCCCATTGGAATGCATTAAACAGGTTTCAATGCATTCCAATGGGGAAATGCTTTTCGCTAGACAATGATTTAGCTAAACAGTGATTTCAGTGGAATGGATTATCATCGTCTAGCAAGGCACCACTGTATGTGTCATAATATAAAGCCAGTTCTCACCTTAAGGAAAGCTCCTTATGTGACTCCTTATGGATACAAGTGCGCCTCCTCTTCCTCCCCACATCATCCCGTGGAACAGGGCCGGCTGGGCTTGCCTTCTCCTGCCTTGGCCTCCCTCCGGCTTCCTCTCCATCCGTGCGCGCTCGGCTCCGGACTGGGATTTCACAGGACCTGCCTGGCTCCTGGCTCTCCCAGCCTTGCCGCAAAGTACATGGCCAGAAAGCACGGGGGAAAGGCCTGCCCTGAGTCCCCTGTACTTTGGTCCAGGGTTGGAGCTCATGGGCAGGATGCAGGAGGGCCGAGGTCTGATCCTCAGCATCTTTAGGTGGCTTGGGAAAGAACCCACTCCCAAGCAGCCTGTAAGTGATGTTGGAGCAGCTGCCCTGACTCAAGGGAGGGTGGCTTACCCCAGATTTTGGGAGGGGGGGAGAAGGAAGCTACCCTTCAGCCCAGTCATAAGTTCCACGTGGTAGGTCCCCTGTGCTCTTCATTGTTGTCTGGAAGTTCCCCCTGCTCATGAGGTGCTGCATGTCCCTTCAAAGGCTCTCCTGATGGATGGAAAGTGCCAAGCCATTGAAAGAAGGAAGACATCAGAAATTATACCCAGAACAGAGCCACAGATTTATGTAGGCTTTTGGTAAACACTTTGTTCTGGGAAGATTTATGTGTCAGGGGCTTCAACGCCAGGTGTGGAGTGAAGAAAAGTTTTGTGATGGCAGTCACGCCATTGGTGTGCATGATGTTGTATGAATTGAGAAGGCCACTCTCTGCCTGGAGCAGCTTATAGCTGCTAAATTTGATGGGATGCAGGCTGCAGAGTGCCTTTTCTCCCAGTTAGTGGAATAATTCAGGGATTTTTTTTCTGTGAAGTGCCCAATAGCCTTAAAGGGGCTTTCGTGGCTTTGCAGCCTGTAAGTGGACAAGATTCACAGGCATCTTCAAGGTTGCAGTCTAGACCCGTCTCTTATACCACAGCAGTTCTATAGACCATCAGGCTTGGCTTTGTGGCTTGTAGTAAACTGTCTTTGGGGTGTGGGCCCCCAAAAGCACTTACTCCAGAATACTCATGGCTTCTGACACTCCTCAGCTTTCTCCAGAATAATTCATTTGTGGTTGTAGAAGGGAAGCTTAATCCTGGATATAATGGACTTCTAGAGCAAACCTTTTGTGTTTCAGTGCTAAATTGGAGAAACAATCTTTTTGTGGGCTTTAACGGGTTGCATCCAAAAAGTCTTTAGGCTTATAGCCCCAGGGGACACATGCACAGTGCTTCTACTAGCATGCTTCAGAGGAATGGCAGTTCACACCAACACCGTATTATTAGTGTGGGGTACATTTACTAACCCCTGAGCCAGTTTATAGTTAGAACATGAGAACGGTTGAGCTTCAGAGTGTGAATTGTAAGTAGTTTAACTCCAGTGAGGAAACTCAAGATTCAGCATATCTATTCCAAGCTACAGGTGATTTATGGAGTACCTCCACGAACTTCTTCTGTGAAGTTTTCTAACTTAGTCTACAACTATGAAGCCGGGTCTTCCCTCTGTCTCCATTTATCCCTCCCTCTCACAACATGCTTCTTGAGAAATCTTCCCAAATACCACTGAGACAGATTTTGGAGACTGTAAGATGAAGCTTTGAGGATGAACAATGAACATCTTCCTCACAGATGAGTTAACCATCCCAAATATAGTTGTTCCCTAGTTTTTGCTGGATGAGGAAAGTGAAAACTCCCCACTTTCCAAAACTGGCACCTTTAAATTGTCCCTTTGTAGACTCTGTGAGCCATTTTTTCTCTCCACTAACACCCCCAACAAAAGTTACATCCTTTTACAACAAAAGCAGCCTTATAATAAGCCACCGACCAAGGCAAAGCGAACCTGCTTCATTACACCCTAGGGCAGCCTTGTGACATTCTGCTGGCAGATCATGCGAAATGATTTTTTTTTTTTATGAGGGCAGGAGAATAAAATAACTGCTCTTTCTTTCGCCTCCTCCTTTCTGCTACCATAGGATTTTATTCCTGGCCATGGATAGGTTAATGTGGGTCTGTGATGGGACATGATTTGATTTCCTACCCTGCCTCATTTTTTAGAAACCTCCCTCCCTCTTCTCTCTTTGTTTTCACTCCTTATTTTACACAGAATCATGACGAAGTGCATTAAAACTTTTAGTAATAAAGGAGTGTAAACTTGTCAGACTTAAGAAAGAAATTTTAGTTATAGGAATAGCTTTCTTTCCAAAAAGCATATGAGTGAGTATGTGTGTGAACAGACCACCTACTTACTCCATGTGGTTATAGAGTTACTTGCACTGCCCCCCCCCAATCATCCATTTTAAGGGCTCGTATGCTCTTCGCAGAGTGGGAGCAGAATTTCCCTTGTCTTTGGATACTTGCTACCATAATAAGCACAGAACACATTTCAACCTTTCCTTTATAATGCTGCAAATCTGTACTGTCTGCCTTAGCTCTTGAGTCAACAGAGGTGTCCTGGCTTCTCCCCCTCTTTTCCTCGCTTGCTCATTTTGAGAAAGGAGGGAACGTTCCACTCAGGAGCACAGGATTTACAGCTCTCCTCCTGTAATGGCTGCTGGACAGTGCCACTTTCTGCTGCCCTGGTTGCTAAACGCAGACAGAAGGCTGCTTGCAGTTTTCTTTTGTTTTTATTAGAAAAAGTGGATGGAGAGGAGGAAACAAATGAAAGTGCATGTGTACATACTCGTAGCAGGATGCATGCATGTCCAAGCAGTGTGAGAATTTGTATTAATGTCAGATTACTCCCTTTCTTTTTCTCCTTCCATTTTTAAAAGGATGTATGCTTGAATAGTTCACCTTCATATAGACATTCTGATTCTTAGTATGGGAACGTTGATTATAAAAACTTAATTTCAGTTTTGGCAAAACTGAAGTAACTAAAAAGAATCTTGCATTGCATTATTGTTAAATGGGTTGTTACCTATTGCTACACATTTCTTGTTAAAAACAAGTTTGAAGGATGCAGAACATTTCTGAAGTGAGCTGTATGTTTTCTGTCCACGTATTTTCTATATATGTTCAGAAACGTAACTTTGGAAAAATGACAGTGTGAATGGGTGGCACCGGGGTGAATATCGAGGTTGTGGCAGTGCATGACTTACTGTTTGTTCCTGTGTGAATTTACTTGGGGGTAAGTTCCCCTGTGCTCAGTGGGGCTTATCCCACAACAAGCTTGTAGAATCTGAGCCTTAGAGGAGTCAAGAAAGGCATATAATAAATAACCGAGATGGGTTGATAATGCAGTCTTGATGGCACAGTCTTAGAAAGGAATAAAATAAAAGAGACCATGTTGATCACAGTCAATCTTGTCAGTCAGTTCCTTCAGAACAAGAATTGGCGCAAAGGTACATGGATGAGTGAGCTAATATCCTTTGCCTGATGTCTGAGTTATGGAGGGATGTCTAAAGGTGTGGCCAAGTTGTGATTTTTTTTTTAGTTCACCTGAGCTCTATGGCTTTTGAGTTCTGCAGATTCCTGCACTGACTATGTTATTTCAGATGGCTTCACTGTAGGCCACCAGGATTGGTGCAGTCTGATCCGGAAGACTGAATCTGATGAAACAACCCCTTGTGAGTTAGTTGCAGCCTTCCTTAAAGATATGTCTATATGCCGCCCCCACAAACCCTGCTTCTGGTTTATTGCTGCAGCTCTAATGCTGCCACGAGGAAACACTGACTGTTTCAGGGCAGCCTAAAAACATGCTATCTGTGGCTGAAAATTTAACAGAGCCAGGTGTCTGCTGGTAACCTGAAGTGTGAAAATGTAATGGTTTGTGCGGGTTGAGAGGGAAAGCCCATTTTAGAGAGACAGTGAAGGAAAGGCTTGCAGAGTGTTAGTCTTTTTTCAGCTCTTTAGTTCTAAGATTATTAAAGTGCAATAAATGGTCCAGAACCACGGAGGAACACAACAGTTGAGTCTCTCTTCGAGTGAACATTGCAGTGTAATTTAGTTCACATACCATCAGAAATAAGCCTTTTTGACTCTGGCGAGACTTATTTCCGGGCAGGTATATATAAAATTGCAGCTTTAGACATCAGTCTTAAATGCACTTCCCCAGGAGTAAGTCTAACTGAAATCTGTGAAGGCTGCTTTTGGGTTGATGCATATGGGATTTCACAGTTGGTATAAGATTGAGGTGTGTTGGGCTGAAACCCTTAGTGGAATTAAGAAGGGGAAAGTCCATTTTCACAAAGTGAAACTTACTCTTGAGTAAACACGCATAGATTGATGTCAATTTCTTTGGCCATTTTGTTAAAAGAAAAATAAGAAAATAACAAACAAAAATAGATGTATATGACATCATTTGGATTTGTAACATGTTTTAAATCATTGTGAAATACTATGAATTTAAGAGTGACAAAAAGTAACTCCTTTATATTGCGGCGTCAGTGTGTAATGTTTTGAGACCATTAAAACATATGTAAATATGTTCTTTCTGCCTTTCATTGATTATTGTCCAAATTAAAATTATTTTCCAAATGAAAGATAATTTGGCTTTGGGCTTCTTTTCTCCCTCTTGTTTAAGTGAGGAGAGCAGTCCGTAAAATAAACACATTGCCCAAGTAGTGAGTGGCATCTAAACCACATAAGTTTAACATTATTT